CAGACAGTCCACCTTATTAGTTTGAGGTAGGCTAGTCAGAGTTAACATCCGTGCATGAATTAGATCCTCATTGCAGGATATATTTGCGAAAAAAAACACTTATGTCTATCGAATTTTTCCACAGGTGATGTCACTTGCCGGCCTTGGGGCGTCTAAATAAATCATGAATTAATTGCCGTCCTAACCTCTTCTACTGCAAGCTGGTGTCGGCTCCTGCACTTAATCAATTATATAATGAATGCCCATAAATATCTTTTCCACAGGCTGGTGCCGCCTCCTGCAGCTCGACTGGGTGGAGGCTTTCGTGGCCTTTTCGGAGTTGGCCGAGCAGTCGCGCTGGTCCAAGGCCTTCTATCAGTACCTGAGCGCCCGTGAGTGGCGATTGGGGAAACGGTGGCGAGACGGGAGAGGGCATGGATAGGCTGGGATGGATATCGACTGTGACTCGACTAAATCGAGACAGTGGACAGTCGCCGCCGTTTGACCGTCGCTAATGCATTATTCATGTGTAAAGCGATACGATATTTGCCTTATTACGTTCTTTTGCACATATCCAGATGTGCCCACTGCCCAGTACATTTATAAATACACAACGTAGTGTATTTCACTACCTTCGGCCCCACTATAATAAACTAATAATATAATAAAATAATTTATAAACTAAACTAAACTAAACACTTCACAAAGATCCTTTCCGCCCCGCCCCTCCCTCAGTACGTAACTTTGCCTCTGATGCCGTCACCCCTCCGCGCAGTGTGCACGGGCGCCTCTGGCGACATCACCCTGGCCTCCGCGCTCCTCAAAGACATCCCTCCCCCCGGCCGCGGCCGCTCCGAGCTGGACACCTTCCTGGAGAGTCGCGCGGCGGCGCTGCGCGAGCCGCGTGCCCCTCCGGCCGCCCAGCTGGCCTGCCGACTTCACGCCTACGAGCTGCTCTACCTGTGGAACGCGCTGCCGTCCTGTCCGCAGGACGTGTGGAAGGCAGTGGTGGAGGGTAAGTGGAGGGGAGAATGAGGACTTATAATGGGAGAGGAGATGAGTGAAAAGGTTGATGTGGGATGTCAGGGAAGGGTCAAAGAGGAGGATGGGACTGAGGGATGTGTCATGGCTCAGAAGATGTTGCGCTAGCCGGTAGTTTTTCGACGTTTAGTATGCTATGAAGGTGAGCAATACCGATTCTAAAAGCAGAATTTGAAATTATTATCGAACCCAAAACGACGTCCATCACAACGGAAGACTGAACGAATAATAATGTAAAGTAACGGCACGAACGAGTCGAACTTACAGTAACCATGCATGCGTAAATTTCCTCGTAGATTTTGCATAGCACCCTCATCAGCCCTCCGTGGGCTGTGAATGGCGTGTCCACTGCACACCACTAACCCTCTAACCCCGCTACCGTCCCCCGTTCCCGCCAGACTGCGAGCGCGGCGCGCTGGAGCTCCCTCCGCTGGCCGCCGTGGCGCACCTGGTCTGTGGCGGTGTGTTTGACAACACTTGTCTGCGGGAGGCGGAGAGACACTACATCCGAGCCCTCCACCTGGGGAAGGATGACTCACGGAGGGCGTATGTGGCGCCGCACGCCAGTTATGAGCTGGCGGCCATGTACTGCGCGCAGGCCAAGGTAGGGAGGGGGAGGGAAAGGTGAAGGGGGAGTGAGGGGAGGAAGGGACTAAGGGAGGTACTAGTGAACCGACTTATAAGGACCTTACGATTTGTCAGCATTACCGAGGCTGTACTTAAATTATCTGCCCGTGCTAGCCTTACTATCACGGCTTTACAAGACTTGATAGATGAAAATTAAGAATATCTTACCTTTATCACGTTCCCATGCGACAGCTAAATATATCCACATTTACAGAACTCAATTATTTTGTTACATTATCCTCCGCCTTCGGTTTCCTTATCTAACCATCTCTATAGTTCGTTTTTTTTCAAAAGGACGCTGGCTCCAAGTGCATTATCGAAGCTCTCACGTGAGTTTTGGCAGCTTCAGCGTCTGGTCAAGAATTTCTTACCGAAAAAATATCCGATTTCAAATTGTGCACGGTAAGTACCCGGAAATTGTGTCCTTAAAAATTAGCATACTATGATGACGTCACTGGTGGCAGCAGGCACCCAATGTCCGTACGATGGGACAAAGTTTTGACGACTTTGGGGGAAACTTCGTTGTTCACTGTTGTCGAGGTTATAATCGAGTAAGCGGTTTCGTCCATGATAGTTATCGTTACATTGCAATACAAGTTCGACAGCATGACGTCACCACTGTTCTCATATCTGGCTGCAAAACGCACGTATGGAAATTATCGGGAATACTTCACGTGTTAAAATAAGGCGACGTTCGAGTTTCTCAGGTTCAGTTTTTGCTCGTTTTGCTCGCTAAAACGCGTGCTTTTTCGAAAAACATACTTGGAGCCAGAGTCCTTTTGAAAAAAACGAACTATAGTACTCTGCCTTCCCACCCACAGCGCCGCCCGGAGGGGCGCACATTCTCTTTCTCACTCCTCTCTAATTCTCTCCACCATCCCTCTTTCCCGTAGCGCCGCGCGGAGGGTCGCGCTCTCTTGCTGTCCGCCCGGGACGACTACAAGGACTACGACTTCGAGTCGCGGCTCGCCGTGCGCATCCAAGCGGCGCTCAAACGGCTCGAGAAGACCGGCCGCGAGCAGAAGAGCAAGTAAGAACGAGAAGGAGACGACGAGGAAAAGTAAGATGGAAAAGAGAAGGAGCCGTCGAGTTGACAAGGCAAGAAAGGGACTTAAGGAAAGAAAGGGCGAGAAGATTACCCAGTGAACGATCTCGTATGGGGAAGGATAGTGGAAGGAAGGTTGGAGGGACTGCGAGGGAATCACGGTAGATCTGAAGATAGCGATTGAGTTTTTTAAGTATCATATTTGAATCTCGCAGTTGAGAAGTTTACTCTGAAATCATCGTTTTGGGCCGTTGCTGTTTTTTTTTTATATATGTCGATTGTCTGGTTTGTTGAGTTTGTTGGTTTGTTGATATCTCAGGTGTTTTGTTCTGGGGCTTATTTGATTACAAGTTGGCTTTTAGGGCATGTCTTGACGTTTCATCGTGTTTTGTTAGGAATATTTAAAGTTTTTATGCTGGAGCCTTGTTGGCAGAGAGTTTTCTCGTCCCTTGTGCGGTCTATGAGCTTAGATGCCGATACCTAGCGGGCGATTTAAGAACAATAAAGCTCGACATAGTAGGAGGTAGAGGTGAAATTAAGTTTAGCTTGATAATTAAGGTCTACTTAGGGGGTTGCCTTTGTTACCGATAGTTTAGTTTGACGGGGCTGGCAGTGGCAGTCAAGGGAAATAGGACCCTGTAGGTTATGATTCTAATGTAAGTTTCGTCAGCGGTTGTATAAAATTACGGCCGATTTACAGTCAGTTGGGCTAAAAATATTTGACAGCCAAAGACAGTGACGCCTTAATGCGTGTAGAAAAGCTTTACATGCCCGACCTAGCTAGAGTCTAGAGAAGACAATTACCTATATCGCGAGTCTATTTTAGTGTCCAAATGTATGTCGTGCCAGTACTGTTAGTGCCTAGGTCGCCAAAAGCTACCGGTGATACCTCATATAACCAATCGGATAAATAATCGTGTGGCATTATGAAATGTCACTGACTAGAAGAAAATGTAGGGAGTTATATAGAACATACATTTAAGAACTGTAGGAGAGCTCATGTAATCGTGATTGAGACGAGTTATTATTAGTTTAAACATATCGTGGCAATCAGCGGTTATTTTAGATTAGTACTGTTTGTGAGGTATAGAGGTATATTTAGGGTGAAGAGCCACCCCTCACTAGTAAGAAAAGTGCCGCTGGGGCGGGAGAATATTGTATTTTTGTCGTTTTCTGTTCTTTAATTTCTGACAGATTTTTGTCTGACAAATACCGTACCGAGTCACGGCACTTTGAAAAAATTGGTTACTTTTATCAGAGGCTACTGTACTGATATGGATAGTCTATGCTTTTATCTGTGGTTTTTTCGATGTTTGTTTGACTCTTCGGTATTTAACTCGCTCGCGATCAGGATATTACTTTTGTCTCTGTGTTCACTTTGGCTTCAAGTGCTGGTGCACGCAGCTGGAAGAGGTACCCAAATGCACCATGCACCATGTAACGGTATAATCAGAACGGGTTGTGCGCTCGATGTGAGTCCCGTGGCACCACAATGGCACGTGTCTGTGCGTCTCGCGATCTCGCAAGATTTTAGCTGTGATTACTAAACAAAGGGTAGATCGGGTAGATGTCATACCGAATTCACCTGGTTTCGCTGTGAGTGGGATAAGTGTAGTAGTCGGGGAAGAATGGTAGATCTAATAGCGCAATAAATTGATTCGGCAATCATATCCTTGTTTGGTCTATCGTCAGCTATGCTAACGAGTTGGAGAGGGGAGGCCGTTTGAGGTTGATTTTTTCATGCAACTTGGATACGGCAAAACATAAGCGTAACTCGTGACGGAATTGCACCTTTAGTATGTCGAGGAATTTAACACTAATCTTCTATTCATCGTCTAATGAACGGGGACATGCAATTATGTAAAACAAGAACCGACAAGGCCAACCGCCGACTCCATGCGTTGAAATGTTCATTTTTATGTCGTTTTAATGAGTTTACTGGGTTCGGGTTTCAGCAGGCACGATGTCGTTAGGCGCGTTTACGCCGTATTTAGGGTCCTGCCGGGAAATACAACTGGTTTGGTGAAATTTGACACTGGGAATTCGGACCATCATGTAAAGGAGTATGGATGAAAATGGTCGAGTCTCGTATTTTTTCCGATACAAACACTTGTAACAAAACTCGTAAAGGAAAATGTGGCGTTGTAAAATGGCACGATGAAATGTATAAGTTCTTCACATTTTAACCCTGCCAACTTCTTAAATCAGCTCGTCTTTACTCAGCTCGTGGAAATTCCTATCCTCTTCCCACAACCTACGTGCCCAAACCTGTTTCTACAAACCCACACTGCAGATGAGCTTGTTAGGATTTTGGGAAACCGGGTAAATGTATTAGGCACCGTCTTCAGTCTGGATATGCCAGACACTTATCACAGAAAAACACTGATCCCGTATTCACACGTTTACTTACAACAATGCATATTGACGTGAATACACAGAAGGCACATATTTTACTTCTCTGTATGTTTAATTAGCACCAAAAAAGTTGCGTTCTTATTTTTATCTTCGCCTGCTCCTTGTCATTGGTACCCAAAAGTGAAGTTAGGGCTCAAATCCTTCAATAATTGGCATACTTTTTTTCTTTGTAAATCTTACACGAAAAGTAGCATGCACATTTTGAAAATATTTTGTAACGGAATTCGACAGCGGATACCTAATGATGTATGTATTTTCCTCCAAATAATTAGTTTCGAGGACACGCACCTTAAATGAATTTATCTTTACCTACATCACCACATAGCCCTTGCCAATGGCGACAAAAGGCAAAGACCTGTCACGAAGTTATGTAAGAAAGCGCGATTGTGGGTATCCCTAGAATAAAATGTACAGAAAAATGATACTCGCAAAACACCCACCATAGTAAGTATGTATGATCCTATCACCTAGGATAACTGTATCCCCTGTCAAACAATACACATAGCCTACCGTGACACCAACCCACCCCTCCCCTCCTCTCACGGACACACCTCATACCTCACAACCTCTCCCTCTTCCTCTTTCCTCCTCCTGCCTCTATCCACCCTCTCCCAAATCTCCTCACGAACCACAGCCAGCCCGACCACCATGAAAAACGACACGGGAACCGCGATCACCAGATCGAACGCGAATAAACCGGTGGCGACAGGCTGCCGACGCCAGTCGAGAACCGGGTAGAAGGCGGTGTTGTCGCGTTCGGTCAGACCTCCCAGCTCTGTGTAGGTGATGGTGAAGATGAGGTAGATGGCAGCGACCAGAGCGGGCTGCCAGACGTGCAGAGGTCGACGGGGTACCCTGGGGGAGAGCAGAAGTTAGTTAGGGGGAATTTGAAGAGGAGAGGAATTTAGAGTTTTGGATTGGAAACTCTAACCTTCGCTAGCCTTGAGGGACGTTACTGATCAGAAGAGTACGTACATGAAAGAGAGAGATAAGTAATGAGAGAGTAAGAGAGAGAGAAAGAGAGAGAGAGAGAGAGAGAGAGAGAGAGAGAGAGAGAGACCGACAGACAAACACACAGCCACACAGATAGATTGAGCCAGAGGGAACGAATGGAGTGATCCGGCCCCAACATACGCACAATATCCAAAAACGCACCTGCGACCAACATTTAGCGAGCAGCAACGCATCAGGTCCCGGCTTCACGCCCACAGTGCATACTCACCTTTAGTGCTAGAATACAAAACAGAAGCAACGAAAGTCAAACAGCAAACAAGCCCATGACAGCAAACAAGCCAAGAAGCACCAAACCAGCCCCCCCCCCATCTCACCTATGCACGGCAAGCAGCAGCAGCAGATACAGCCCGTTCCCGCCGTGAGAGGAGACGGTAAAGTAGTTGATAGAGTTCGGTCCGCTCTCCTCGGCAAAGAACACGCTGGGCCAGAAGGCTATCGAGACGGTGAAGATCAGCGCGGCGCTGATGTTGTGTAGGAGCCAGCTGAGGCGGTAGCGTAGCGGTAGTATAGTGCCGTCTAGTAGACGACCTGGGGAATATCGGTATGTGAGGGCGCCGACGGGGGGAGGGGGACTATGGCTCTTTGCACTGGTTGAAATTATACTGAATCTACAGGATTTTTTGCTGGTGACGATTGACTTTTAAATCGGCTTGGATACGGTCAAAGATTTTAAATTTTCTTTATAAAAATGATTTCTTCATTTCTCATGACCCTGACCTCCCTATCTCTTTACTCTCGTTCTGACTCTCATGACACTAGCCTCACCATGTGACCTCGCTCTGACCTCTCCTGGCGCTAACCTCACCATATGACCTTTCTCTAACATCTGACCTCACCATGTGACCCATTTCTGACCTCTGCCGACCCTGAGCGCGTGCTCCAGCGCCAGGGTCGCCGCCGCCGTACTATTGGCGGCCACCAGCAGCTGCGTCCAGTTGGTAAGGTAGATGAAGAAATGGGAGGCGTGGTGGGCGCCGTCCCACCAGCCGCCATACTCCACGGGAATCAGCAGCTGAGGTAGAGGGGTTGAAAGGGGTCAGCAACTGAGGTAGAGGGGTCGAAAGGGGTGAGCAGCTGAGGTAGAGGGGTCGAAAAGGGGTCAGCACTGCTGACAAACAAATGTCAGCAGGGTTCGGTAGCCGGTCGGAGAGGTCGCCAATGCTATGTAGTGCTAGGATAGCTGAATTCATCTATATTTGTTTCATGCCGTCCAAAATGTTGTTCACATTGTGACGAGTAACTGCTTGAGCGTTGAGCTCGCGCATGACGGGGGGGGGGGCTCTACAGAGCCCCCTCATGTTTTTCAGCAATATCTTCTAAACCGTTTGACGGATCAACACGAAACTTGCGGTACCCTCAGAGGCATCAATTTGACACCTTGTGTTCAAATTTCAATTTTCTAGCTACCATTGTTTAGCCGGAAATGACGTCAGAGTGACGTCATGTCGGCCGATTTTCATGCTAAATACTGAAATACGGCAAACGCTCTCAAGAGCTCAGTTTTAAAGCTAGATCCATTTTCTTTGCATGAGTAGACTACAAATACACGTAGCTATCGAACTGCTATCTCGAATTTTCGAAATTTTGAAAATTTCGAAAAATATTCATTTACAATTACAAAAATATATTTTTTGATTTTTTTTCAAAAAGTTTTTGACTCTTCTCAAAAACCGGAATATATGTGATAGAACACACACTGATAAACTACATTTGCAAGTTATAGCCCAATATCTTCAAAAATAGCCAAGTTATTCGCATTATTGTCAAAATTTTACAATTTTGTTTTTTTTTTTTCAAATGCATTTTTCAGTACGTTTTTGACGTCGTACAGCAATATCAATGGCACCATCGTGTTCCTGAGGTCAAACTGCATCTGATAGGTACATTTTTGGTTGAAAAATTTCATTTTCAAAATTTGACCTTTTCTGACCTGAAAGTGACCTGACCTTCGGTAAATCCAGCTGACAATGACCTCAAATGACACAGACGACACTATTTTCGAAATCTACGAGTAAAATGGACCATAAAACATGCGTCACGTGACCGATACATGATATACAATTTTCGTGACCTAGGATAACCTGGCCTTGACCTTAAAAATTCGAAGTAAAAGTTCGGTACCCTCAGGGTATCTAAGGCATCCGTCAAGGAGTGCGCAAACCAAAAATGAGCCTGATCGGACCGGCGGTCCGGCGGTCAGAGCCTAAATTGTGAACTAACAAAAATGTCGATAATTTTTACTTTGACCTGACCTGTGACGTCATCGGTGACCTCGAGATCAATGAAAATAGGTTCCGTTCAACAGTTTTTCCAGGGCTATCAGGCGCCGTTTGAATTTTGACGATCGGCCCAGTAGTTTCGGAGATAGGAGGGGGGGGCCGGCTCTGGAGAGCCCCCCCCCCCAGTCACTCGCGTTATGGAAAATACCCCAGTCATGCGCGGGTGAAAAACGTGCCTTTTTAAGTTGTTTATTAAGCATTGTAGGCTGGCTTTCATTTATCGTCTGTGTTTGAAGTAAGTAGTAACTTCCTAAGCTCTACGATGAAAGGAACAGACGTTTTCCGTCACGCTTGGAGACTCGGAGACTGCATCTCATGGTGTTAGTGCTCTGGTTTGTGGTTAGACTGTGCCGCCATACACCAAGGATTCCGGCACAGCATAACTTTATAGTCGTTTGTCGGATAGGTACTCAAAGCCCCGTCAAATTGAGGGTCAGGAAGGAGAAAGTCTCACCTTTTTAATTTTAATTAAATGGATCACCTTTTTAATTTTAAAATATTTTTTTTTTTTTTTTTTTTTTTTTTTTTTATTCAGGCGTCCCTCCAACGGGCACTTGTGGCCCAATTACAGGAGGGCTCCTCCTCCTCCTGGCCCTTGTTCCCCCACCCCCCCAGGCTACGGCTGAAGTGGGAGCCAACCCCACACCTGGTGACGCAGCCGGGGACGACGCCCGCGGAACGGGCGGAACCGGGAATCGAACCCGAAACCCGGCACCGCCCGCACCGCGGGTCGACGCCTTAACCGACTGCGCCACCAGGGCCGCCGTCTACTTATTGCTTTTATTGACCATGTTCAACAGCTGTTCGCCAACGACATTCATGTTTTGCCGGCACCTACCTATCCTAGATGAGGATTTCCAGTCCATCAAAAATACAAGTTTAACGATCGAATGCATCATTTACGGCATGTTTTTACAGGAATATGAGGAGGAAGCTCGCTCTCCATAGTGTTTCCATACCTTGACGCCGATCTCGACGTTGAGGTACAGAGCGCTGACGCAGCTGAAGGCCACATACCACCAGGACACGGCGGCAGGGTCCTGCCACTGGCTGGTACCGAAGTCGGACGGAGTGCCCACTGACAGGCCGTACTGGCCGTAGAAGGTTGCCAGAGACATGCTGACGAGGGGGGGGCATCTCATAGACGTGAGCTGTGTTTATTGGCTGGGGTTACTTTGGAACCCGGACATTCGTACATGATTCAATTGCTCATTAGATTCATAACACCAACCGTTTACCAAAATTATCAACAGTATTTCATGGCACATCTTGTGAGCTGGTACATACATACGAGGGTCATCTCGATTTCGTAGATCTATATTACGATTATCAAATTCGAAACTTGCGGTACACTAACGTTTGTATGTAAATGGTAAGACCTATAAATGGATGCACGACAAATGCTCAGCAGTTACGAATGACAGAATCCGCCAATCTCATTAGCATTGGAAAGTTGACTTCCGCTAACCAGAAAATAGAAATGTCTATTTTCACTCTTACCTGTCGCTATCTCCGGCAAACAAACGTGGCCAGAAAACCTGCAGCACTAGAGTTTCTTCTCAGTCCGGACTATGACTAACCCAAACCGGAACTGCAGCGTCTGAGCCCCTCTATCAGGCTACCGACTGACCAACTACCAAGCTCCGAGCCACCGGCATAGAGCGACCTCATGATCGTTTGTCAAGGGTGCCAGATCGTGTGTCAGGTGTTTGTCAGCGGGAGTTTGTCAGTGTTTGTCTGTCTAGGGGATGTGCTCTCCACGGGAGGTATACAGCTGGACCTCCTGGGTTGTAGCATGGTGATGAGTCCCGTGGTAATGAAAGTCGAAGTAGATCATCAGTTTATGAGACGGATGCATCCGCATGCTCCCGTCTGTTCAGAAAATGGAGACATACATACAAGCTAGCAGTAAGATGGCATTATATTTCATTTCACTCGTCGCAGATTTTCCCGGCCGACGTGACAGAAATATTGGATCAGTAGGGAAGTACCTAAAAGCGGTCAAACGTTTCGATTCCGCATACTAAATCAATTTTACTAAATCGGCGAGCCTTTGCCAGGAAATACTTCAACAATCAGCTTGATGAAAAAAGCTCGACACTGCTTGTTGCATCTGTCCGAGGGCATGTTTCGAGTTGAAGGTTCTTCCTTATATGTGATTGTGTAACCCGTTATCAATTTCCAGCGCATCGCTTGCCGTTAATGGGAATTCGCACGCACGGGTCTGGTCATTGTCCGCTTAAGGTCGACCACAAAAATGCTTCGCTAGCTTGATTATGAAGATGACAACGCGACAGTCAATTTTACCCTGTCAGGCATTCGTTTTTGGTTTTAGTTGCACTTGGCGGCGAGCTGACTCTCTTTCACTCTCACTCGCTTCCTCATCAAACCATAGGGACTGTCGAGCTTTCTGGGGTGTTTTCTTATGACTGACGGGACCACTTCCGTTATTCTTGTCTCTCCTAATTCCGTTGCTGTGTTGGAAAGTATTTCTGTCGCTGTGCTTGACGTAGTCCTCCACGAGAAATATCCCTGTCCATCTGCCAGCGGAGACGACCGCTCGAGCTCTCCTGGGACCCCTCGCGCCGCGAGAGAAAGGGTCTCCGGGCCCGTGGGTCTTAGCCGGAGGTCAGCAAGGGTCTCTGGGCCCGCGGGCCCGCCTCCGGGTGCCGGGAGATGGAGTGAAGAAGTCGGATCATCATATGAGTGTGCGTATCGTTGTCGATCACTTGTACCAGGTTGTAGCGCGTTATCGTGAACTTGGAGCGGTGCATGGTGGATTCTGGAATAGGAAATCACGCAGAGGATTGATAGGAAATGCAGCCAGACGGAAGAAAGCATCCACTGTTCGCGACGAAAAATAATTTAGTTTTCACCAATGTCAAATTAAATACGGATAGGTAAACGAGGTGTGGACTTTTCACGAAAATTTAATAAGCTCAGCAAATAATTTAAAGATCGCACTGAAATTTATCAAAATTTGTCTTGGCAGCGTAAAAATGCAGTGTCAAAGAGGTCAGCTAAATTTTCAGACGCATTAGAAAAATAGCACGTGTTTGCGCTACATGCATACTAGCGCAGTCGGGTGCATACAGTTTACAAATGCATCGATATGAAGAGGGGTGTATCATGTATCATGGCTTCCACGATTTTGCTACGTGGCTTGACCGTACCTTAAAATGGGACATGGTAGACAAATAGGGTCCAGATTGATTCAAAATTCAGATGATTATGCTGCATAATTTTTTTCTGGCAATGCTAAAGCTGCCTGACGAAAAGTGCATTAGGGAAATAAACACTCACCCAGTCATTAGGCATATGTTATGATGTTACATAAATACGGCTTCACTTAAAAAAAAGATGAATTTTTTAACATTCACATAAAGAAAGGATGACATTTTACCACCTTAAACGCACCTGCTACGTGTGTTGCACATAAGCATGACTTTTAGTAACTTAATCATTTCTGACTATCTAACCTTGCGGGAAAGAAACCTGTCAAGGATCACGCATCATGCAGCGTTTGTGATTCATTATGTCGATCATGTTGCATGTACAGCTGTCGGGCAATATAAGCCTGCTGGCTTAACAGCATTAAAGGGACTATCCCACCTTTAACATGGGGTTTGAGTTGAGATAGCCAAGTTTGCGGCGAGGTTCAGAAACCCCTATCTATCTAGGTTGGAACCCCCGCGGCCTCTTGGTGTTGAAGAAATTCGTTCCCTTAATTTGAAAATGGGCCTTGTACAAGGCCCTATCTTCAACATGGAGCGACCGTTAGTGTGACGTCACCTCGTTTAGTCATTCTGATTTAAATGGGTTTGTCCAGTGGCGTAGACAGGGGGGGGCCATGGGGGCCATGGCCCCCCCTTTCCGCCCAGCCACCCAAATGGCGCCCCAATTAGCGCCGACTAGGCTGATGCCGTTTTACAGAGAGAACATGAATTAAAAAATGATGTGCAGGCAGGGATCGAACTCAATATCTCTTGTGGGGTGCCTGGACACCTAAATAATCTCCAGGGCACCCCCAAATACGACCTGAGCCCCCAAATGTTGAAGGGCGCCCCTCCGGAAACCAGAATATTCCGAACCCCCAGGGTCGATGGCGCCCCTGAAGAGCCGCTGGCACCCACCTAAACGGAACAGTCGCCCCATTAAAGCTTGATGGCGCCCCTCTAGAGCACCCGGCGCCCCTCTGAAGTTCACAGCTGCCCCAATCGACCCATCCAAGATCGATCCCTGAAACCACTGGCGCCCCTCTAAAGCACCCGCATTCTTCGCAAGATCACAGTCGCCCTATCAGAGATCAATAGCGCCCTCAAGAGCCACTAGCGCCCCACCCCCTTGAGACTTAAGTCGTCCCGCTTGAGACTAAAGTCGCCCCATTCAAGCCCAATGACGCCCCTCCAGAGCGTCCGGCGCGCTTCTGAAGATCACGCCCATCTAAACGAAGGTTACAGCTGCCCCATCTTAAGATCGATGGCAGCCCTCTGAAACCAATGGCGCCTTTCTAGACTACCCGTCACCCCTCTGAAAATCACATTCGCCCCATCCGAGACAACGCCCCTGGAGACTACAGTCGGCCCACCCAAGCTCAAGCCCCTCCAGAGCCTCCCTGCGGCGCCCTGCTGAAGGCAACAGTGGCCCCATCCATGCCCAATGGCGCCCCTCAACGCCGTTCTAAAGATCACAGTCGCCGCATCAATCCGAGGTCTATTGCGCCCCTCAAGAGCCACTGGCGCCCACCTGAACCGGGGCTTCAGTCGGCCCATCCTTGATCAATGGCGCCCCTCTGAAACCACTGATGCTCCTCTGAAAATCCCAGTCGGACCATCCGAGATCAATGGCGCCCCTCCAGAGCGTCCGACGCCCTACTGAAGGCAGCAGTGACCCCATCCAAGCATTGCACCCCTCTAGAGCACCCGGTGCCCTTCTGAAGATCACATTCGCCCTATCCGAGGTCGTTGACGCCCTCCAGTAGTTACTGAAGGGAAACTGAATTGGATACTTCGGTCGCCCCCCCCCCCGAAACCACTGACGCTAGGCAATTTTTTGACAATGGGGCTTTCTCATCGACACCAAGGGCCCTTTTCAAGATGCAGCAGCTAGGCGGCGCCGAGCTGGGCTTGGATGTGCCACCCTCGTTGCGATACCGCCCCTCAACGCGACGCTGCCCCTTCACCGTGCAATGCCACCCCTCAATGCAAGTGGCGGGGGACCATCAAAGCGTCCAAAACCGCAGCATCCAAAGTACGCAACATCCAAAACCGCAGCGTCCAAAGTACGCAACGTCCAAAATACGTCCAAAATCGGGTATATAGGGAGCATTCACAACGTCCAAAACCGAAACATCCAAAACCGCAACATCCAAAACGTATCATCCAAAAACGCAACATCCAAGGACGCATCATCCAAAGTACGCAACATCCAAAGTACGCAACATCCAAAGTACGCAACATCCAAAGTACGCAACATCCAAAACCGTTAGGTTAGGTTAGGTTAGGCTAGGTTGGGTTAGGTTAGGTTTCCTTATCACCGGTAGGCATAAATCAGTAGGTTAGGTTAGGTTAGGCTACGTTAGGTTAGGTTAGGTTAGGTTAGGTTAGGTTAGGTTAGGTTGGGTTTCCTTGTCCCCGGTAGGCAAAAATCAGTAGGTTAGGTTAGGTTAGGTTAGGTTAGGCATAAATCAGTAGGTTAGGTTAGGTTACGTTACGTTAGGTTAGGTTAGGTTAGGTTAGGTTAGGTTGGGTTTCCTTGTCCCCGGTAGGCAAAAATCAGTAGGTTAGGTTAGGTTAGGTTAGGTTAGGTTAGGTTAGGTTAGGTTAGGTTAGGTTAGGTTGGTTTTGGATGTTGCGTGCCTTGGATGTCGTGGTCTTGGACGTTGTAGTTTTGGAGGTTACGTACTTTGGATGTTGCGTCCTTGGATGTTGCGTTTTTTGGATGATACGTTTTTGGACGTTGCGGTTTTGGATGTTTTGGTTTTGGACTTTGTGAATGTCCCCTATAAACCCGATTTTGGACGTATTTTGGACGTTGCGTACTTTGGACGCTGCGGTTTTGGATGTTGCGTACCTTGGGTGCTGCGGTTTTGGACGCTTTGATACGGACCCGCAAGTGGCGCCCCTCAGCGCTGTGCCGCCCATTATTGCGATGCCGACAGCGCCTAGCAGTGGGGTGCCGCCCCCAGCGTAAGCGTTTTTTTATTGAACCTGCTGGGGGTGGTTGAACACCCACTTCTAACTCAGCTTGTGGGCCACGTCGAGACACGCAGTAGGCGACGTTCGAAAGAGCGTCAAAAACTATTCCTACATGCCGGGGTATGTCTTAAGCACAGCACGAGCCGGGCAGTAAAACTATGACCAAGAAACTGTCGGTGTCAAAATGCCATGTTATTTGATAGGCCGGGCAGGAAACAAAAGTTTACTGCCCGAGTTTACTGCCCAGGGCAATGACCTCTAAACTACAGTTTATCGCATTAGTCCAGAGGTATAATTGAGAGGGAATGTATAATTGACATCATTATTGCATGATATTTGCCGCGTAAAATGAAAAAACTAACATTTTTTGGTAAATATCTGCTCTGCTTATCAAGGGTTTTGAAATATTTTGTATTGGTTACAAAGCCGAAATTATGGTAAGATATAGGTACGCTTATTAATCGAAATCCGTTATCGCTTGTTGTCTTATCTTCGTTTGATATGTCCACTGATACCTTGGGCCTAAGTTAATG